CCATTTAATTGGCAAAGTAATAGCTAAAATTCATGTCATTGAATTTCAGAAACGCGGACTGCCTCACGCTCACATATTATTGATATTAGATAGTAAGTCCAAATTATGTTCCTCTAATTAATTCCCTTTCAATGTGCATGAATTTCGTGCACAGGTTACTACACTATATATATAAAAGCCTAAATGACTGAATGACCAAATGACGGGTCGACCAGTTGCTATGATGCACACTGACCACCAGGGGGAAGACCCTCAACACAGGAGCTGCCCCCTGGTGGTCAGTGCACTCCCACAACCAACCTCCCAAGGCTGGTCAGCCTCCTGTGGCCGGCCAGCCCCCCTGATTGTCTCCATGGGAGAGACCGGGGGGGGGGCGCCTGGTCAACCTCCTGCAAAGTTCCTCCCCTCAGCCAGCCAGCCAACCTCCCATGGTCCCTCCCCCGAAACAGCAGCCCCCCCCCCCCCACATAGGCCCGATCGCTGACCAGGCCAATGGACCCCACCCATGCATGAACTCATGCACCGGGCCTCTAGTATGCATATTATTTCCCTGGCTAATCTCTCCCCACCCTGAGTTTTTTTCTTTAAGTAAATTTATTGGAATGACATTGGTCAACATGATCATATAGGTTTCAAGTGCTCTATGTTACAAGATCTTTATATTGCACCATGTGCCCATTTCTTAAAGTCAAATCTTCTCCTGTCACCCTATTTTAGCACCCCATTCTTCCCTTACCCACTTACCTCCACAGCCCCCAAACAGCTGTTTGTTTTCATGAGTGTTAGTTTTATATCCCACATATGAGTAAAATCATATGGTTCTTAACTTTTTTCTGACTGACTTATTTCACTTAGCATAATGTTCTCAAGGTACATCTATGTTGTTGCAAATGGCAGTATTTTATCCTTTCTTATGGCTGAGTAGTATTTCACTGTGTATATGTTCCACATCTTCTTTATCCAGTCCTCTATCGCAGGACACTTTGGTGATCTTACTCTTAGTGTTGTGACCTTATGTTATGTTTCAGAATAATTCCCTTGAGTATTTCCTGCAATGGAGATTTCTAGTGATAAAATCCCTCAGCTTCTGTATGTCTGGGAATGTCTTTATTTCTCCTTCAGATTTAAAGGATCATTTACTAGATATATTATTTGTGGCTTGTAATTTCTCTCTTTCAGATGTTTGAATATTTGGTTCCACTCTTGTCTGGCTTTTGGAGTTTCTACTAAGAAGTCGGATGAAATTGTGATGGGTTTTCCTTTGTATTTCACTTCCTCCTTTTCTCTGACTGCTTTGATCATTTTTTCTTTGTCATTAATTTTTAACAGTTTTAATACCAACTTCCTTGAAGAATGCCTCTTTGGATTGAGGTAACTAGGTGTCCTGTTTGCTTGTTGGATTTGAGGATCTAGTTCTTTCCATAGGTTTGGGAAGTTGTCATCCACTATTTGTTTGAATATATTCTCTGTTCCCTCTCTTCCTCCTCCAGAATGCCTATTATTCTAATATTGCTTTTTCCAATGGAGTCAGATAGGTCTCATAGAGCTCTTTCATTATTCTTTATGTTCAGGTCTCTCTCTCTTCCCTCTGTATAATTTCTAGATTCCTATCTTCAATATCACTAATTCTTACCTCCATCTGGTTGGCTCTGTTTTTTTATGCTCAGTTTACTTTTAATCTCCTTAATTGCATACTTCATTTCCAGGATTTCTGATCGGTTCTTCTGTAAAGTTTCAATCTTTTTGGAAAAGAACCTCTTTTTTTATTGATTTGTTTTCTGAGTGCATTGAATTGCCTGTCTATATTTTCTCGCATCTTGAGTATTTTCAGAACTGCAATCTTGAAATCTCTGTCATTTATATCATGTATTTCCATGTGTTCCAGCCTGATTTCTGGGGATTTTTCATTTTCTTTCTGATCATCCTTATTACTATGGTTATTCATGGTATTTGCTTTTCTCCTTTGCCTACACAGTTATCTCTGTCTATATATGGCCAATAGCAGTTTCCTCTGAAGAAGTCTTTATTACTATTTTCCAATAGATGGCACTGAATCACAAGATTTTTTTTACCTCTGTGATCTCCCAGTCTTGATCTCCACAACTTCCATAAGACAATGCAGCGACACTTCTTGAGGGTGGAGTTTGTTTTGACCTCATCATAATGGCAACTCCTGACCTCTATGGGGTCCTGCCCCAAGCACCCCACCTGGGGATCTGTCACAGAGGGAAACAGTGGTTCTACTGCAATGGCTCTTGGTTTACAGGTAATATGATCCTTAACCCACCTTTAAGGGTGAGATTTGGGAGTCCAAGCAGCAAGGCTCTGTGGTTCCATTTATTTGTCTGAAACATCTCTGCCCAGCTCCACAGTGGAGAGCTGCATGGCAGAACTCCATGCTCTGTCAGGCGTCTGCTGGCTCAGTCACTGTTTGCTCTGCTTGCCCTGCTGGAATGCCCCCAGACCCCTGCACCCTCCCCCCCCCTGCAGCTACTGCTGGCTTCCTCCCTTCTCTTAGGCCAAGCCATGAGCTCCTGGCTGCAGGGCTGCATCTGTGGGTCATCTGCAATTTCCTCCCTTCTCATCTCCCCATTTATTCCTGGTTACCCACCTTTAAATGTTTCAATACACAGGTCTCTCAGGCAAACCTTTGTATTTAGCAGGGAATTCTTTATTGAGTTATAATTAGTTAACTTGTTCTAATTTCTGAGGGAGAGGCCATGGGGATCTCTCATGCTGCCATTCCTCTGACGTCCCCAGCTCATTTCCCCAAATGAGTCTTATAGGGCTAAAATCAAGGTATCAACAGGGCTAGTTTCTTTAAGAGGCCCCAAGGGATAATTCATTCCTTGCCTTTTCCAGCTTCTGCCAACATTCCTTGGCTTCTGGTCACATTACTCGTATCTCGACTTCTGCCGTCACATTGCCTTCTCTTCTGTAATAAAATTGCCCTCAATTTCCCTCTTATAAAGATACTTGTGGCTTAAGGCCTATTGTACAATCTAAAATAATCTCTCCATCTCAAGATCCTTCACTTGATGATGTCTGCAAAGCCCTTTTGCTGTATAACATTTACAGGTTCCAGGAATTAGGACAGTTACCTGTTAAGGGCTTTTCTGATTCTAAAATTTTACATTATTAAGGCCTAAATGGGTGATTATAAATACTTATCTGAATGCAGAGTACCAAAATAGTAATTTTTAAAAAATTTTAATATAAAAGTATCATATCTTTCTATGTTTAAGTATTTCCTGAGAGAAATTTAGTAGTTTAGGGACCACTGGTAGAACCATATATTGATATCTGATAATAGTTTTAATATGTAAGTAATATAATCCTATCTAATAATAGACAAACATGGTAATTAACCGTACCTCCAACATGCTTCCCATTGGCTAATCAAGGTGATATGAAAATTAACTGCCAACCAAGATGGCGGCCGGCAGCCAGGCAGCTGAAGTGAACAGGAGGCTTGCTTGCTCCAGTGATGGAGGAAGCCAAGGTTCCCCGCCTGCTGCTGCCGGCCTCTGAGCTGCACTCTAAGAAACAATGTTGCAATTATAGAAGCTAAACAAACCCCAGAAACCTGCTTTCAGCCAGCCAGGCCTCAGAGCTGGAGTTGCAAGAGTGTTTCAATTATAGAAGCCAAACAAACCCAGATACCTGCTTTCAGCAGCCAAGGTCTCAGAGCTGGAGTCAAGCCTCAGAGCTAAAGTTGGCTTTCAGTTCCAGTGACAGCCATAGAAAGTAAATAAATCCCAGAATAAAAAAAAAAAAGGAGAGGTTGGGAGCTTCAGTCGCCCGCCAGCCTAAAAACGGCCCTCAGCCCCTCACCCAGACTGGCCAGGCACCCCAGTGGGGACCCCCACCCTGAAGGGGGTGTGACCAGCTGCAAACAACCATCATCCCTTCATCCAGGCTGGCCAGGCACTCAAGCGGGACCTCCACCCTGATCCGGGACACCCTTCAGGGCAAACCAGCTGGCCCCACCCATGCACCAGTCCTCTATCCTATATAGTAAAAGGGTAATATGCAAACTGACCCTAACAGCAGAAAGACTGGGAATGACTGGTCACTATGACACACACTGACCACCAGGGGTCAGATGCTCAATGCAGGAGCTGCCCTCTGGTGGTCAGGGTGCTCTCACATGGGAGGAGCTCTGCTCAGCCACAAGCCAGGCTGATGGCTGCCAGTACAGCGGTGGTGGTGGGAGCCTCTCCTGCCTCAGCAGCGCTAAGGATGTCCGACTGCAGTTTAGGCCTGCTCCCCGCTGGCAAGTGGACATCCCCCGGGGGCTGCCGGGCTGCCAGAGGGATGTCTGATTGCCAGCTTAGGCCCAATCCCCTGGGGAGCGGGCCTAAGCCAGCAGGTGGTCATCCCCTGAGGGGTCCCAGACTGCGAGAGGGCATAGGCCGGGCTGAGGGACCACCCCTCCCCCCCCCCCGAGTGCTGTGCACCAAGCCTCTAGTAATGATTATAATATACTAACTCACCTAAACAGGCTTTGATTATTTAAAAATATGCTTTTTATTCTCTGATAATTATGTGACTTAACAGAGGTATTAGCTAAGGCCATATTGCAATATATAAATATATTAAATCAACAGATGTACACATTAAATGTACACAATATTATATGTCAATTATATTTATATACACTTTTAATTATTATCTGTACATTTTACTTTATAAAAGAGGATAACAATTGCAAGGTAAAACTAAATAAATATGTATTCATCAAACCTTATCTTAATTGTTAATTTCATCCTTTATCCAAGTTAAAAAATTTCCCCAAATGTTATCAAATAGGCAAACTGACTGACTTTACTTTTAACTCTTCTTTACGTTCCTCTATTAAAGTTACAAAGAGATAATAAATGGCCAAAAGCAAGCTATAACAAAAAAAGGGACATGTATATTTCACCAACTTAATAATTTATTTGGTAGTTGAGCTATGTTATATGAAATATGAAATTATTCTAATATGTTTTTGGTAGGTGTATCCTGATTGTTTGACACAAGCTATCTATGTAGCATTCCAGGAAGCATTTCCAGAATCCACTGATCTCTTTAATGATGAATTTAAAGAAGATCTAGGGAATAACATTTATCTTTGGTTGTCAGGTATGATTACATCATTTAAGTATTGATCATTATCTTAGTACCTAAAACTTTTGGATTTTGTTTGCTTCAGTCAAAAGGATAGGTAGTTCTTTGCCTTACAAAACATGCTATATGGATACCTATATTTTAAAATAATAGTGAGTAATCTCTTTTTAAAATTTTATAATACTTAAATTAATCAGTTATTATGTTTAGAAACCAAATAATTTTATAGGCAGTGTAACTATTGCAGAAAATTGAATTGCTATAGTCATGCGCATACATTTTATATTTGGAAGATACATATTTTAACCAGTTAACTGCCACGATATTTTGAATTTAATTAAAAAAAGGTTCACTGCTTGCATCTATAGATGCTTATGGAGTACAAATGTTTAAGCTGCTTTTGAGAATAATATTTATAACATAATATTCAGTAAATTCTAGAGCTAATTGAGTTCCTCATAGAACATACAACCATTGATAAAAGAAACTTGTTTTTTGAATTATGATGTGCTTGTAGATAGGAGTGGTAGGAATAAAAGGCTAAAGGGAAGTAAAATTCTATCCTATATAATAAAGAGGTGATATGCAAATTGACTGTCACGCACTTACAAGATGGCTACCTACCACCAGGCCGGCAGGGGGGTTAGTGAGGGACGACCAAATGACTGAACAGCAGGTTGCGTGGGGTGACCAGGCTGGCAGGGGGGGCTGTGAGGGGTGACCAGGCCAGCAGGGGGGGCAGTAAGAGGTGACCAGGCTGGTGGGTGGGGGGCAGTTAGGAATGACTAGGCCAGCAGGGAAGGGGCAGTTGGGGATGAGCTGGCCGGCAGGGGGGCAGTTAGGGGAGATCAGGCCAGCATGCAGAGGCAGTGAGGGGCGATCAGGCCAGCACGGGGGTGAGGGGGAGGGCAGTTAGGGGCGACCAGGCAGGCAGGTAGGTGAGTGATTAGGAACCAGCAGTTCAGGATTATGAGAGGGATGTCCGACTGCCGGTTTAGGCCCAATCCCTAAACCGGCAGTTGGACATCCCCTGAGGGGTCCCGGATTGGAGAAGGGTGCAGGCTGGACTAAGGAGACCCCTCCCCTTGCACAAATTTCGTGCACCGGGCCTCTAGTTCTAGAATATTTAGCTAGACATTTAGGTACTTAGATTTAAAACTAAGATATAGTTACATATTCCAGGAATGACCTTTCCAACATTTTTTCTAAGACATTATGCTATTATGGACTACCAGAAGCTGTTGACAGTTTTCAAGTAGTGCTTCTTGTAAACCTTCCAGTTCAAGTTTTGACTGATTTTAAAAACTGTTTTGTGTCTATCTTTAGTAACCAAACCATTGCTATCAGAAAGTGTATCATATTTTAAGGAGAGAGAAACACCACAAATTTCTGTATACTGATTTTTCAGGATACAAAATTACTATACAAAATTAGTTGCATCTCCCTAACAATGAAATATCTGAAAAAGTAAAGATCAGTTTCATTGACAATAGCATTAATAGCAATAAAATACTTAGGAATAAATTTAGACAAGGAGAATAAATAAACTTTACACTAAAAACTACAACACTTCAATGGAAGAAATTAAAGAAGGTACAAACAAAGGGAAATATATCCTGTGTTCATAGATTGGAAGAATCAATATTAAAATGCCCATGCTACTCAAAGCCATCTATAAATTCAGTGCAATTGCTATCAAAATTCCAATGGCACTTTTCAAAAATATAATACAGAATCCTAAAATTTATATGGAATGATAAAAAACCCTGAATAACCAAAGCAAACCTGAGAAGGGACAAAGTTGGAGGCCTCACACTTTCTGATTTCAAATTATGCTACAAAATTATAGTAATCAAAACAGTATGTTACAGGCATAATAATAGATACATAGACCAATGGAACAAAATCAAGAGCCCAGAAATATACACTCACAAATACACTCAACTAATGGGTGACAATGGAGCCAAGAATACTCAATGGGAAAAAGATAATCTCTTCAATAAATGGTGTTGGGAAAACTGGATAACCACGTGTAGAAGAATGAAATTGGATTCCTATTTTATTACCACTCACAAAAATTGACTTGACTCAAAATGGATTAATGATGTAAACATCACTAGTGAACTGCAAAACTGATATAAGAAAACATAGGGGGAAATCAGTTGATATTTGTCTTGGAAATTTTTTTTAATATGACATCAAAAGTCCAAGAAAGAAGAACAAAAAAATAGTAAGTGGAACTGCATCAAATTAAAAGCTTCTGCACAGCAAAGGAAACCATCAACAAAATGAAAAAGCAACTTATAGATTATATTTTTAAATCATATGTCTATTAAGTAATATTAATTTCCAAATACATAAAGAACTCATACAACTCGATAGCAAAAACAAAATCTGATTTAAAAAATGGACAGAGGAACTAAATTGATATTTTTTTAAAGAAGACATACAGATGGCCAACAGATACGAAAAAAGGTATTCAGTATCACTTGTCATCAGGGAAATGTAAATCAAAACTACAGTGAGGTATCACCTTATGCCTGTTAGAGTGGCCATTATAAAAAGGCAACAAATAACTAGTATTGATGTGGATGGGAAGAAAAGGGAACCCTTGTGCACTGTTGATAGAAATATAAATTATTGCAGCCACTATGGAAAATAGTATGGAGGTTCCTCAAAAAAATTTAAAACAGAACTACTGTATGGCCCCACAATTCCACTTCTGGGTATAAATCCCAAAGAAATGCAAATAGGGGCTCAAAGAGATATCTGCACTCCTCTGTTCATTGAGGCATTATTTACCATAGCCAACGTACAGGAACAACTTAAGTTACTGTCAGTTAATAAATGGATAAAGAAGATGGGTATATATAAACAATAGAATATTCTTCAGCCATGAGAAAGAAGGAAATCTTGTCATTTGTAACAATGTGGATGGACCTTGAGGACATTATGCTTACTGAAATAAACAGAGAAAAACAAATACTGTATGATATCACTTATATGTGGAATCTAAAAAAAGTCAAATTCATAGAAATAGAGTGGTATGGTGATTATCAATTGTTGAGGTGTAGGGGAAATGGGGAGATGTTGGTCAAAGGTTACAAACTTTCCGTGATAAGATGAGTAAGTTCTAGAGATATAGTGTACAGCATGGTAGTTATAGGTAATAATACTATATTATATACTTGAAAGTTGCTAAGAATGTAAATTAAATGTTCTCATCATAAAAAAGAAATGGTAATTATGTGACATAATGGAGGTGTTAGTTAAAATTATGGCAGTAATCATTTTACAGGTATGTAAGTATTATATGTGTCTTATCAAATTAAATCTTAAACTTACACAATGTTATATGTCAATAAAGCTGTAAAACCTTAAAATTTAACAATTTTTTAAAAGTTAAAGATATAAAACACACTATTTTGGATGTGATGGTCCTATATTAATGCCGTTATTTCAAAGAGTCCATGTTTCGCCCTAACCAGTTTGGCTCAGTGGATAGAGTGTCGGCCTGCAGACTGAAGGGTCCCAGGTTCGATTCCAGTCAAGGGCATGTACCTTGGTTGCGGGCACATCCCCATTAGGGGGTGAGCAGGAAGCAGCTGATTGATGTTTCTAATTCTCTATCCCTCTCCCTTCCTCTCTGTAAAAAATCAATAAAATATATTTTAAAAAAACAGAGTCCATGCTTAGTTACAAATTTAAATTTCCTACTTGTAAATAATGTTGGGATGCAGTCACAGCTCAAACAGTGGTTAATTTGGAAAAGAAGCAACAGAGAAGCTAACTTGCATTAAATGCTTGCTATGGAACAGATACCGTGCCAAATAATTTTACATCTGCCTTGGTGTCAGGCAGTATCTAAATTGAGTTGAATTTTGGGTCCCTTGTGTAAAATACATAGTTTAGCACATAGTAGGCCTTCAAAAGTGTTTGCTGACCCCTAACCAATTTGGCTCAACGGATAGAGCGTCAGGCTGTGGACTGAAGGGTCCCAGGTTCGATTCCGGTCAAGGGCATGTACCTTTGTTGCGGGCACATACCCAATAGGGAATGTATAGGAGGCAGCTGATCAATGTTTCTCTCTCATCAATGTTTCTAACTCTCTCTCCCTCTCCCTTCCTCTCTGTAAAAAATCAATAAAATATATTTATTAAAAAAAAGTGTTTGATGAATGTTATCTTTGCTTATATATCAGAACCTAGTAGGGTTTATTACAGAAATGGAAGGATTATTCAGCACTAGACTGTACTAACCATTTCTTTTGTTTTCTGTATTCTGATGCTTTGATATTTGGGGTCTTGCTGGCCCTGGAAGGACTGCCCCTCCCAATGTTAGCCAACTCCTAGAGCTATTAAATAACTCACTCATGAGCATGCTTTTCAAATACAAACCAACCAATCCAGAGCCCACACCTCAAACACCTCCTTTATTGGGCTCTCACTCTAGGCCACTATCTACTTGCCCTAATCATCCTAGGATCAGGTATCAGACAACTGGGAACAGCACCTATACCCCAGAGCCACTGAGATTATTTAAACTAGCCATTCATAAGCCTATTTACTCTGCCTCATCCATTTCTTCCCACAGAAACCACAATAAAGGCTCCTACCCACAGTCTCCCCCCTGACCAACCCCTGTGCTTCCTTCCCTGTGTGGCCTCCCATGGCATGGAGTACCCCCTCCTCTTGGAAACTGAGTAATAAACTATCATTTCACTGTAAATCATCAATGGGTTGGCCTTACTATTCCTCAAATTTTATATTAATACATTATATTTTAAGACAATCTATCAAGAAGCATTCAAGTTAAACAAACTGAAAGCTGTTGCATTTTTATCTACATAACTGAATCTAAAAACACTCAGAAAATTCTAATTTGATAGCTGAATATAGCAAATAATCCTCATTGAACACTCACTACAGAGAAAATATTGATTATATTTATGAGTATAGTAATAATGTTGATGTATAGTAATAATGTTAGCTCATGGTTCCCACTTACTGAGCATTTTAACATATATTATCTCAATAACCTTCAGAACAAACATAAAATACACAAATAAATTTATATCTATATATATTTTTATTGCTCAGGCTACAAATGTTTATTGTGGTTAAACAAATTATTCAACCCTACACAGCTTTTGGAACAAAAGTGGAACTTTGTAAATGAAATATATCTTACTACTTTTGGGGTACTTTAATTGATTCTTAAATGCTATCCTATATGCCCTAACTGGTTTGGCTCAGTGGATAGAGCATCGGCCTGCGGACTGGAGGTTCCCGGGTTCGATTCTGGTCAAGGGCTTGTGCCTTGGTTGCGGCACATCCCTAGTGGGGGGTGTGCAGGGGTGGCTGATCGGTGTTTCTCTCTCATCAATGTTTCTAACTCTCTATCCCTCTCCCTTCTTCTCTGTAAAAAATCAATAAAATATTTTTAAAAATACTATCCTATATAATAAAAGCCTAATACGCAAATTGTCCCCTCGACTGGGAGTTCGAATGGGAGTTCAACCACTCGCTATGATGTGCGCTGGCCCCCAGATGGCGACCAGTGGCAGCAGCAGGGGGCAGGGCTGCTGCCTGGCTCTCAGGCTCTGAGGGAGCTGGGCAAGGGCCCGATGACACAGGCAGAGGGGGTGTGCAGGGGCTCAGGAGCCCAGGTGCTGCCCAGGGCCCAAAGGTCAACTGGAACCCTGCCCTTCCATGCCAGACGCTCATGCTTGGATTGCCGGCCAGGCCTAGGGACTGCACCCATGCATGAATTTTATGCACCAGGCCTCTAGTTTTTAAAATAATAGGAGATATAGATAGGGGAAATTTGTAAACAATTATCACCTATGCTCAGAGGCAATCATGTTAACATTTAGGCTGTAGTAACATTACATAGAAGGTAAAATTGTTCTTCACATAAAAACATGAATGCCTTTCTATGTTAACAAATATATACAAGGTAACTTTACTGGATACTGAAATCCACTGTATGGATATGCTGTTGTTGGATATTAAGGTCCTTTCCAAGTTTTTACAATTGTTAGCTTTTTATGTTCATGTGTGAACTTAGCATATGCCTATGAATCAAAAGAGTACATATCAAGCTTCAGCTGTTTTCTAATTCATTGATTAATATAATAAGACATTTCTATATAAAAGTTCCCTCATTAGAAACTTGAGACTGACAATCCTTACAGGACTGTTGTGAGAATAAAATGTATAATATTCATAAAAAGGCTTTGACAGATCAAAAAAATTTTCAAAATCCTAATTTCTTTGGCTGACTGTATGTTTTATTATTAACAGGTTTGAAACCTCAAAAAGGTTTTTGGACCCATTGGAAACTGAAAGACCTGACCACAACAACTATACATGGTACCAAGAAGGCACCTGCCAAATCCGTATACGAGAGAATTATAAGGAGTCAGGAACGCATAATGAATAGTAAGTAAATTTATCCTAAATTGAAGCATGAAATTGCCAAGATCAAGTGTGCTAAGTTATTTGTCAGAATTTTCTAACGATTTATACTTTGGTGAGGATCTTCAAATAGCATTTGATTTGTACACTGATGTTATAGTAGTTTGAAGATTGCTTTACATTTTAGTTTTTCATTATAAAAGTTACATATGCTTAAGTCCTTTCCTCATTTTGCCCATATTATATGTTTATATTGATTTTTAGGAACTTTTCAGGTACACAAGAAATATTCTTACTTTTTAGCTATATTGCTAACTGGTTAATAATGTATTTTACTAATAGATAAGTTTAAAAAATTTTTCCAGTAAATTTAAATAATGTTTTCCTTAGAATTTCAGTTTTGTGACATGTTTGTCAGGACTTACCTAATATTATGAAAATATCTATCTCAGTGTTCTCAACCTTCCTAATGCCATGACCCTTTAATACAGTTCCTCATGTTGTGGTGACCCCCAACCATAAAATTATTTTCATTGCTACTTCATAACTGTAATTTTGCTACTGTTATGAATCGTAATGTAAATATCTGATATGCAGGGTGTATTTTCATTGTTACAAATTGAACATAATTAAAGCATAGTGATTAATCACAAAAACAATATGTAATTATGTATGTGTTTTCCGATGGTCTTAGGCGACCCCTGTGAAAGGGTCGTTCGACCCCCAAAGAGGTCGCGACCCACAGGTTGAGAACCGCTGATCTATCTTCTCTTTCTAGTACTTTTTATTTCCATGTTTTATTTAACATTTTATTCCATCTGGAATTTATTTTGTTACAAGGAAGATAGTTGTATTCTAGTATTTTGTTTTTTCTAATTGCTCATTTATTAAATAGTTCACTTACAGGCTACATGAAATATCAATTCACTTGGATATATTTGTGTATTCTCTTCTGTTCCTTGAGCTACATGCCAAATTCCTGCACCAAACTTCTCAGTTAATCTTGATTAATAAGCACTGTAAGACAAAGTTATTTCTCTCTTGTTTATACCATATCTCTAATACAAAGCATAGGCCTGGTGCTCAGGCCTCATTTCTGACTCATTAAATCAGAATCTGCCTCAGGATTTTTTTAAGCTACTCAGGATGATTTCAACATGCAGGCAAAGTTAAACCACTAATGTCAAGGGAAATCACTTTTTAATCTTGATACAGGACAGAGGACAGAGGGACTAACCTACTCAACCTACTCTTCCTATTCTGAAAACTATTCTTCAGTTAATTTCTGTTTCTAAAATTAATGAATTATTGCTCTTGGGATTTGTGCTGTCATTTTCCCCACTCCTATCCTCATAGATATCATCCTATCTGATTTCTATCTTTTAGTAGTTACATGAAATTTCTTGCTTGCTGTTGACAAGAGTTTTTCCAGAACTTCATACATAGTTGTTGTTTTGAATGGAGAGGTACTTTACCATCTTGACCTAATCTTGCATATCTGTGTTTACTCCCAGTCTCATAAGTGAATAACAACTTGGCTGAACTTAAAATTAAGGGGTTTGAGGGAACTCTTTATTCTGTTAAAATTTTAACTTACAGAAGGTGATAAGAATAGAATAAGGAATTCTATACTGGTATATCCCTGTTCCATCAACTGCTTAAATTTTACCCTATTTATTTTATCATTCTTTCTCTTATTTTTTCATATAGCATTGAAAGCTATAAATTTCTCTAAACACTGTTTCAGCAACATTGTATAATTTAGATGTGTTGTATTTTCATTATCATTTAATTTAAAATATATTCTAATTTTCAGTATAAATTCTATTTTCACCCTTGGGTTATTTGGAGATATATTGCTTAATTTCCAAATATTTGGGGATTTTCTAGATATCTTATAGTTACTTAATTCTAATTTAAACTATACTCTATATGATTGATTCTTGCTTTATGGTACAGTGCATGGCCTATCTGGATGATTTAATGTGCACTTGAGAAGAATGTACATTTTCTAGTAGTTTTATAAATCTTAATTAGATCAAAGTATTTGATTGTATTATTCAGATCTTCTATATCAAGAGTTAGCAAATTATATCCTGTGAACTGAATCTGGCCTATACCCTGTTTCATGTCCTGTGAGCTAAGAATGACTTTTACATTTTTTAAGAGTTGTAAAAAGAACTAACTATACCACACAGACCACATTTGGTCCACAAAGACTAAAATATTGACTATCTGTCCCTTAATAGAAAAAGTTTGCTAACTCTGGTTCTATCTCCTTACTGATATTTTAATTACTTATTCTATTAGTTAGTGACAAAGGATATTAAAATCTCCAACTCTAATTTGGAATTATTTATTTCTCCACCTGATTCTTTTGATTTTTGCTTTATCTTTAAGTTATTGGGCACATACTCATTGTTATAATGCTTACCTTTAATCATTTTGAAATTTTCTGTCACATCTACAATAATTCTTCTTGTCTTGAGTTCTATCTAGTCTATATATATATATATATATATATATATATATATATATAAACTAGAGGCCCGGTGCACAAAAATTTGTGCACTTGGGGGGGAGAAGGGGTCCCTCAGCCTGGCCTGTGCCCTCTAGCAGTCTGGGACCCCTCGGGAGATAATGACCTGCTGGCTTAGGCCTGCTCCTGGGTGGCAGAGGGCAGGCCCAATCCCTAGGTGCAGCCCCTGGTCGGGCTCAGAGCAGGGCCGATTGGGGAGTTGGGGCGCCGCCCCCTATCATGCACAGAGCAGGGCGGATCGGGAGATTGCGATGCCACCCCTAGTCATGCTCAGGGTAGGGCAAATTGGGGGGTTGGGGCACCGCCCCCTATCACACTCAAGGCAGGGTCGATGGGGAGGTTGCGGTGCCACCCCCTGTCACGCACAGGGCAGGGCCGATAAGGGGGTTGGGGCACTTCCTCCTGTCACGCACAGAGCAGGGCCCATCAGGGGGGTTGGGGAGCTCCCCCCTGTCATGCACAGAGCAGGGCCCATCATGGGGTTGGGGAGCTCCCCCCTGCCACTCACGGAGTAGAGCCAATAGGGGAGTTGTGCACCGCCCCCTGTCACACACAGAGCAGGGTGGAGCAGAGGGTTTGGCGCCGCCCTCTATCACCCATAGAGCAGGGCCGATCAGGAGGTTGGGGCACCGCTACTATCACACTCAGGGCAGGGCTGATGGGGAGAGGTTATGGCTCTATCCCGTCACACACAGAGCAGGGCCCGTGGGGGGGGGGGGTTTG